TGTCTTAATACTACACCGTTATCTACTCTACCTGTTATCACACACCTGTAGATTTGTACCTCGCACACCTGCTCCTCTGTACCAAACACACCTCTACCTCTGTACCAAACACACCACTACCTCTGTACCAAACACACCTCTATCTCTGTACCTCAAACACCCGCACCTCTGTACCAAACACACCTGCACCTCTGTACCAAGCAAGACTACATTTGATCCACACAAACCCCTTTACACATACACCACACTGACGTGTCTTAATACTACACCGTTATCTACCTCACCCGTAGATTTGTACCTCAAACACCCGCACCTCTGTACCAAACACACCTGCACCTCTGTACCAAGCAAGACTACATTTGATCCACACAAACATCTTTACACATACACCACACTGACGAGTCTTAATACTACACCTGTAGATTTGTACCTCAAACACCTGCACCTCTGTACCAAACACACCTGCAACTCTGTACCAAATACACCTGCACCTCTGTACCAAGCAAGACTACATTTGATCCACACAAACACCTTTACACATACACCACACTGACGAGTCTTAATACTACACCTGTATATTTGTACCTCAAACACCTGCACCTCTGTACCAAATACACCTGCACCTCTGTACCAAATACACCTGTACCTCTGTACCAAGCAAGACTACATTTGATCCACATCACCACACTGACGTGTCTTGATTCTACACCGTTATCTACCCTACCTGTAGATTTGTACCTCAAACACCTGTACCTCTTAACCACACATCTGAACCACCTGTGAGTGTGACTTGTTCTTCAGGAGTACGTTCAAGACAGAGGCACTTATGACCTCACGACTGATATGCGTCTTGATGTTTATCAGCGAATCTTCAAGCGGGGAGACGTGTATACAAGTTGCATCGGTCTCAGTCTGCTGCGTCCGTCACGACCTCCTCAAGGGCCTCGAGTAATGAGAATGGTGTGCTTCTGTGTATGTTTACAAACACACACCATACAAGAATGGCGCTGACATTATAAGAACAATCCTTATACCGTGCTTTGATTTTTTTTAACCGCAACGAATGTGGCTCTCAACATGAATTTATAATCACCCGCTTGTTGGATGTGTTTATCTGCCCCATGTTCACGATCTTCGTGTTTCGTTAATAGATGTTTAAACAGTTTCTCCTTTGCAGCCGAGAACGCTGTGACACGTTCTAATATAGACCAGACAACTCGGTCGTTGCGCAATGTCATGAACACATTTAAACTATCATGTTTACTTCAGACCTTGATACATATGATGCCTTGACAGTCTGGGCCTGGAATATAGCTTGCTGATGTTTGGCTGTTGTATTGGAATGGGAAAGGCTGATGTAGAGTTTGGTTTTATGCCGCTTTAAAGCATTTTTGTTAAAACAAGTCGAGACGGTCTGATATGGGTGGCAAATCCACAGTGATGAAAGTCGTTGTCGTTTAACACTATGTTGAATTGAATGAGCACGGTAAGAGTAGATATCCGATTGGATCCCGAATCCTGGTACGTGTAAGGGACGCAACTCTGCACAGCAAATATACGTGTAGCCATGTTTGTAAATGAGAGAACAAGACCATACTGAAGAACTGCAAAAGCGCGGGACACCAAGCATGAATTCGATAATTGTACCGTTGAGGGGTCCATTCCGTGGTATAGTGGTAGAGCACCTGCCTGAGAGCTGAGGGTTCGATTCCCGGCAGCGTCATACCAAAAGACGTAAAATTATGTCACTTCTTGAAACCCAGTCTGGTGCTCGACATTGAAGTGCTAAAGCAAGGACTGGTCGGCATGGAGTCAGTATACTGTGTCTTAGGTGGATATGCATGTGCCTCATGGAATCTCAGTGGGCTAGCACTACAAAATCGGCATTAGTCTGAATTAGTACAAGCAGATACACACACACACACACACACACACACGCACGCACGCACGCACGCACGCACGCACGCACGCACGCACGCACGCACGCACACACACGCTACCGTGGTATAGTGGATATATATGAACGTGAACGCAACATTGAACCCCATTTTACCTAACCTGTGAGAAATTGACCTGAATCCTTAGCATGACGAGTGCAAGTACCTAGTACAATGTTTGTCTAAGAGTGAGTGAGCGAGTTGGGTTTAACGCCGCTTTTAACAGTATTCGACCCGTGAAGATTCCGGGGTAGAATAGGGCTTCAGCAACTCATGCTTGCCGTAAAAGGCGACTATGCTTGTCGTAAAAGGCGACTAACTGGATCGTGTGGTCAGGCTCGCTGACTTGGTTGATACATGTCATCGTATCCCAATTGCATGGATCGATGCTCATGCTGTCAATCACTGGATTGTCTGGCTCAGACTCGATTATTTACAGACCGCCGGCATATAGCTGGAATATTGCTGAGTGCGGCGTTAAACAAAAAAACAAACCAAACCAAATTTAACAGTATTCCGGTCATATCACGGCGTGGTTTGTCTTAGAGGCTTTCGTACATTATCACAGGTCATTTGAATATTTGCTACTACCACCAAGTTCTGCACCCGAGGCGGCTCCGCACAGGTTCACACCCCAAGATTTGACGCTCACTGTATTCGGTTCTGTGTCCCGTTCCACATCTTCCCGAGGCAAGCGAGTTAACTGACTATATTTAAAGACAGTTTACCCTCTTGCCTCGAGAAGATGCCCGTTTCACAAAGCGAACCTAGCTCAGGGACAATGTTTACGAGCCTCGAACCACTGCGAACGCGTTGTTGTTGAGAACCGGCCCTTAAATGATTAAAAATTAAACTAATAAATGATATTGACCACATAGCTGATTTCCATCCACGACAGTTAAACTGGGATGAGGTGTTTTCAAAGGATACTGATTATGGGTGTTGCCACTTCTTTTTACAAAGACCAACTTTCAATTGTGACCAGCTGATTTCAAGTGTTAAACTACCTGTAGTGGTGTAGTTGTAGCACCAGCAGTAGTTGTAGCAGCAGTAGTAGTAGTAGTAGTCGTAGTTGCTGTTGTTCATGTTCTTGCACCTATTTTCAAAGACCAACTTTCCGTTCTGACCAGCTGATTTCAAGAGTGTAGTAGTCGTAGCAGCAGCAGTAGTAATTGTTGTTGTAGTAGTAATAGTAGCAGCGGCAGTAGTAACAAAACTAGTAGAGCAGTAACAGTAGCAGTAGAAGTAGATGTTGTAGTAGTAATGGTAGAGTGAGTAAGTTGGTTTATCGTCGCTTTTGAACAGTTGCAGATACAGCACAGTGTGTCAGCTTAATGTGGGAGGCAAGCCCGAAGTGATGCAGGCCTCAGACGTTTACCACTTTGGTTGTAGAAGCAGTACTAGTAGTAGTTGTAGAAGTTGTAGTAGTAGTTGTAGTAGTAGCAACAGTAGTATAGTTGTTGTAATAGCAGGAGCATTTATTTTCTAACACAAACTTTCGGTTCTGACCGGCTGATTGCAAGAGTTAATCTACTACTAGTAGCTTTTGTAGTAGTAGCAGCAGTAGTAGTAGCAATATTAATAGCAGAGCAGCAATAGTGGCAGTAGTAGCAATACCAGCAGCAGAAGTAGCTGTTGCCAGGGGCTAAACTACGCTGATTTTAAGAGTAAGCAAAACCAATGTTACGAGGGCCCGCTAGGAGGGTTTGGGGGCAAGCTTACCCAGAAATTTCATAATATTAGATGCTCCTAAACGTTTCCTGAATTTTGGGACCGTTGATGTCAGATTATATTTGTAACATATATAGGTGACGTTTTATTATATTTGTATTAGTAATATACATACGTGTTTCACAAACACATTTTCGGGTTTCATTCAAGAAACATCTGATTACTAATGAAATTAAAATGAATCGATAATATTACTTCTTTTTTTTATATATATGTTCATTCGTAATATGTGATGGTTATTTCCTTTTTTTTATCTTAACGCGAGCCGACCTATCATTATCATGAAAATAATTGTGTGAGAGCGGTTTTCTTACGTCACAAACCATCCACCACTAAAGTGTATAAAGATTCCGATTTTCAAGTTAGACAATAAATATCATGTTCAACCGTGTAGAGTTTGAATTTATAACTTACTGCATAACTGGTAAATTGAGATTTACTTATACAAAAGATTGTGCTCTTTTTAGGTGTAAGCAATAATTATTGCTTTTCTGTTACAATGGTAGTTTCGCCCCTGGTTTCAAGTAGCAATGGTAGAGTGCGTCGGGTTTAACTCCAATTTTTAACAGTATTCAAGTTACAGCACAGTGTCTCAGCTTAATGTGGTTAGACGTCTACCACTTAGTTGGTTAGGTTGTCGAAACCACGTGACGCTTCATAGGTGCCTTGATGAAGGCCGACTGTCTGGACCAGACAATTCAGTGATTGAGATCATTAGCATCGATCAAGGCAATTGGGATACGATGATATGAATCAACCAAGTCAGCGAGCCTGACCACCCGATCCCGTTAGTCACTTCTTACGACAAGCATAGTCGCCTTTTACGGCAAGCATGGGGTGTTTCTACTATTCTACGCCGGATCTTCACGAGAGAGGGAAAAAAGAGTGTGAGTGAGTGAGTTGGGTTTAACGCCGCTTTTAACAGTATTCCAGTTATATCATGGCGTGTCAGCTTCATGTGGGAGGAAAGCCCGAAGTGATGCAGGTCTCAGACGTTTATCACTTCGGTGAAACCCACGAGCACGGGTATGGTGCTGACAAACCTAGAAACATAATCGGGGTGAACCGGGATTCGAACCCACAATCATAGGTTTCTGGCGTGTCCATGGAACGCAACTCTGCACAGCGAATCACGGCGCCTTAGACGACTGGGCCACCCGTGCTCCCGAGAAAAAAAGAACCAATTACTGTAAAAGTTTGAAACTATAATCGGTTCCTCTAACATGTGACTCACACGGGAAAATGGAAAATAAGTTGGTAATCCTGATGTATTTTAATCGTATTTACTAATGATCAAAGATGTTTGGCAAAAAAGAACAAACACTGGAGCCGTACGAATAGGCAGACATTTATTTGAATGACAGATCGTCGTGACGTACACAGATGCGCATGACACTGATCACGTGATGTACACAGATGCGCATGATACTGATCACGTGATGTACACTGATGCGCATGACAAAAGATCACGTAACGTACACAGACGCGCATGATACTGACCACGTGACGTAAACAGATGCGCATGACACTGATCACGTGATGTACACATATGCGTATGACACTGATCACGTGACGTACACAGATGCGCATGACAGATCACGTGACGTACATATATGCGCAAGACACTAATCACATGACGTACACATATGCGCATGACACTGATCACATGACGTATACAGATGCGTGCATCACTGATCAGGTGGCGGTGGACATGACGGTTGGACAATGGTTTGGTCATAAATTAGACGGCAAATAGTGGACAAGTCATGGCTGACGCATCAACTAAACACATCACATCAGAACGGTAATGAACTTATGACGAAATGGCTACAAAAATAGTTTTCTCGTAAGCATGCTTTTCAAAGTGGCAAGCACGCATGCTCACAAGAACTATTGTAATAAATATCATCCCGAAATGTACACATAACAAAATTAAAATATAAAAACATAACAGTTTATAAATTATGATAAGTAGGTTTTCAGCAGGCACGGCCCTGCTCATATGGCGGGTTTGACATAAATAGCGTACACGTGCATGCACGTGCATATCCGCTTAAGTTTTTGTTACTTGTACGCATACAGAAGAGCAAGAAAGCTACGCCGCCTCCTCACGTGAATACAAGACTTACTACAATTATGTCTTGAAGTCAACCAGACGCCCTAAAAAGGCCATCTGCATACGTTTGGAGCCCTAGCTATCTCTAGCACTCAAAGTCACGTGAAGTCACGTGAAAACTAAGGTTGGTGGTCTGGGACGTGCACATACGTGATGCACGAGCGTTAACTATAGTTAAGGTGGACATGCAAGTAGAGGTCTCCAATGTGTGCACTAGATATATACATAACGTGCGTCTCCCTTTAAAGCTGTGCCCCGTGCTATGCCATACACTATCACTGTACATCTTCCAACAATATCTTTGGCTTAATGTGCGCGATGACTTCGAGCTATAATACTGACTGAAAACGTTTCTCGTACACTACAGCGATACCTTTACGTTCTATGTTTTTAGTATATTTACACATCAGCAACACAACCCCTGCCTCATAGCAATCATCTCTACGCTGCACTTGCTGTTTCAGACTTGTGACAAAATGAAGGAGCTAGAGTTTCAAATTATTAACAAACATCAAAAAAATGGACCACGTAATGACAGAGCGAACATCAGAACAGCTACCCAGGTAGGGTCTACTAAGCCTGCACATACTACGACCCGTCAGGCCAGCAACATTGTCCTGTAGGGTATGTTGTAAAATCGTGGCACCTTATGTGAAATCATTTTTTTAAAAACACAAAAAACTACATTTGGTGAGCATAACAAAGCAACGCTGATTCAACCATGTACTTCTGAATGTTTAGTAGAGTTGATTAAAGTTAAAATGAAACCAAGATGTGGATGTGATAGTTAGAAATGAATAACAAAAACATCGGACCAGCTGACACAATATGCAAAATATATATAAAAAACGTCTTAATACAAGTGAAAACATGTACATACAGTTTCTGAGTAGCCGACTGTGACCAAGCCTTCTAAACATACGAACGGTTCTTTCTGGAACCCTACCGCCAGTAATCCTATCCATGAACAAAACCAATCACTGTGCATGATGAACATGACCAATCACAGGACATGATGAACATGACCAATCACCGTGCACGATTAACAGGCCCAATCACTGCGCATGATGAACAGGACCAATCACCGTGCACGATGAGCAGGACCAATCACATTGCATGATGAACGTGACCAATCACCGTGCATGGTGAACAGGACCAAGCACCGTGCATGTTGAATAGGGCCAATCACATTGCATGATGAACAGGACCAATCACTGTGCATTATGAACAGGACCAATCACCGTCCATGATGAACAGGACCAATCACCGTGCAAGATGAACAGGACCAATCACCATTCATGACGAACAGAACCAATCACCGTGCACGACGAGCAGGACCAACCACCGTGCATGATGAACAGGACCAATCACCGTTCATGATGAACAGGACCAATCACCGTGCAAGATGAACAGGACCAATCACCGTCCATGATGAACAGGACCAATCACCGTGCAAGATGAACAGGACCAATCACCATTCATGACGAACAGAACCAATCACCGTGCACGATGAGCAGGACCAATCACCGTGCATTATGAACAGGACCAATCACCGTTCATGATGAACAGGACCAATCACCGTGCAAGATGAACAGGACCAATCACCGTGCAAGATGAACAGGACCAATCACCGCGCATGATGAACAGGACCAATCACCGCGCATGATGAACAGGACCAATCACCGTGCATGATGAACAGGACCAATCACCGTTCATGATGAACAGGACCAATCACCATGCAAGATGAACAGGACCAATCACCGTTCATGATGAACAGAACCAATCACCGAGCACGATGAGCAGGACCTATCACTGTACATAATGAACAGCGCCAATCACTATGTACAACGAACAGGACTAATCAGAAATGCCCCATGGTAAAAACCAAAGCCAGACAGAGCCTATCAAAATGTTCAGTGGACAGGACCAAATATGGTACACCATAACAAGAACCAATCACTGTGCACCATGGGCAGGGCCAATCACTTTGAACCAGCGACAGGACCAATCGAAAGCATCAAGGCCATGACCGTTCACTATGGGCAGGATCAATCATTGTGCACAGTGGATACGGCCCACCAAAGTCAATCTTTGACTTGACCAAAAGCTGTACATATTGAACATACCCAAGCACTGTAAAGCATGAACAAGAATATATCTATCCTATGGCCAGGACCAATAACTGTACACTGTTTACAGCACTAGTCACTCGACTCAATAGCAAAGACAATCATATTCAATAGGGCTATCATCATGCCCCGACGATACAGACTGTTTACGGTCCTACCAACTAAAAGATCTAAAGCTGCGTAATTCACAGATCTAAAGAAGGACCAAGAGCCTGCTCTGACATATTTCCGTCTATCCGTCCACCAGTCCGAACCGTTACTATTTCGGCGTCAATCTCAGACCTCCAACTGTCCTACATGAGCGAGAACAGGGAGCGAGCGAGCGGGGAATGTACTTGTAAATACAGACCAATTTGTACATCGCGACACGCTAGCCCTTTACTGGATGCTAACAAGTCAATAATGCCCCAAAGGCTATAACGCAACAATATGACATTGAATATAACAGTGGCAGTTCGATCATATAAAAGTGGCAAATACTTCATATAAGATCACGTGTACAAAAAAAACACTTGCTCCTTTGTGTTGAACTTCGCATTCCAAGTGAAATAAGCAATGTCCGGCTGGAGTTGATGATGTGTCCAGCCTTATCAACATACGTTGTCCTTTAATGCAACTCTGCGGTATTTGTCGAGCACTAGCGAAGCCTCGGCCCCATGTAAGCATTAGTATCAACACAACGCTAACAACCAATCAGATGAACGTTAGAATATATCACATGAGCAGTTCATGACATCAGCCCGCTGATATGTCAACTAGCTCTTTCATTAGCACGAGAAGCACGTGCAAGACGAGAAGCACGGTTTCCAAGACAGGACCTATGCCAGACATCATCTATGTACATGGGATCCCTCTCAGAAGTGGATTGACGCCTCGGATGGAACTCCGTTTGTCGGATTGTCCTGGCTTCAGCAGGTGCTCCTCTGATCTGTGCTCGTGGTCACTGTTGACGTCATCTATAATACGGGTCACGTGACATTTCGAATTGAAGTCCTCACACAGTGGGCGTCATAATGTCATTCACTCCATATCTGTGACGTCACAAATATCGAACCACTTTTCATACCACTTGCCTCTGTATTCCAGCGTATTCTGTGTTTGTTTGATCCTCGGATGAAACCTCGTATTCTGCCAAAACTCCTCATCTTTAAATAAGTACATGGCTTTGTCCTTGTAGGAATAATACACGGCGTCCACAGTCGCCGGCAGCGGCTTCTCCCCTTCTTTCACGGGGTACTCATCCACGATTTTCACTTTCCGAACACAGCAACCTCGGGTCTCTTCGGGCTCCTTCGGATCATAAACGTAGACCTGAAATAACAAGCATCTATGAGTCATCTACGTAGGAAGCTGACGAAACAAGCACTTATTATCATAGATTCAGAAGTTCATATCCAACCCAAAAACAGATCCAGGGTGGACCATTTTCCAATGACATTGCGAAGCGTTTCTGTGCCTTCATTCCCGTACAGATTGCATACCGAAACTTAAACCAATTGGTCTCCGGTGGAACACTACAGCTACTCATACACTCCTTCACCGCCGTCTACGCAGGTTATACCTGAATAGTAACATGTCTTTAGACGTACGCTCACACACATAGGTGGTCCGAGAGAAACCCAAGATGGTCGGTGTGTTTGTTTCGCGATACACGCGTGGCTTGAAACTCGTTCCTGCTGACGCCGTGCTTTTATAAACAAAGTGCTTTGTAACTCTGCTCTTCCCGACCCCTTCCCCCCTAAACGCTGAGGTGTGCGAGCAAATCCACGTGTACGATTCTTACGCTGTTGATGGCAAGTCTCTACGAAGATAATTAGAGGTCTGTAAATGGGCACCCTGTTGACATTTCACTGTATGTGTTATGAAATCATCTTACAATGTTTAAACACAAGTGACACCTGAGGTGTTCGGGAGCGACTAGCTTTTGACACCAACACTGTATAAACGAGAATTCTAAAAGGAGAAATTATTACACCAGCTCATTATTTGGTGATTAGATCTAAGTAAGCGCTTAAGCGCTCCAAAACTGACGCTCTACGCCTATGACTCATATCAACGGTGTTGCCTTTTGGAGGAATGAGGGGCTGACTACACTGAACCCTGGCAGTTCCAACTGATTTACACCCCGATGCCGTGTGCAGGATTCTCCACGCTGCCTTTCTATCACAGACACCTGCATTGCTCCTATTTCTCCTAAACCACTGAGCATCGCCGGTTACTTCCAACACGTGCCCTTTTACTCTTATTTCTCTTCACCTTTTGAGCATGTTCAGCTATTTCAAAAACTGCTTTCCTCTCGACTGTCATGATCTGTTGAAGACAATAGGGAACGTACGACCACTACTATGTTCCCGTTCTTATGACCTTTTGAGCAGTCAGGAATGACCGACAATTACCCTGGTTCTATTTCTTATAACCTGTTGACCCTGGTCCTATTTCTTATTACCTGTTGAAAAGAGTCGGGAATGACCGACAATTATTCTGGTCCTATTTCTTATTACCTGTTGAACACAGTCGTTAATGACCGACATCCCTGGTCCTATTACCTATAACCTGTTAAACACAGTCGGGAATGACCGACAATAACCCTGGTTCTATTTCTTATTACCTGTTGACCCTGGTCCTATTTCTTATTACCTGTTGAAAAGAGTCGGGAATGACCGACACTTATTCTGGTCCTATTTCTTATTACCTATCACAGTCGGGAATGACCGACAATTACTCTGGTCCTATTTCTTATTACCTGTTGATCAAAGTCGGAAATGACCGACAATTACTCTGGTCCTATTTCTTATTACCTGTTGAACACAGTCGGGAATGACCGACAATTACACTGGTCCTATTTCTTATTACCTGTTGAACACAGTCGGGAATGACCGACAACTACCCTGGTCCTATTACTTATTACCTGTTGATCAAAGTCGGGAATGACCGACACATACCCTAGTTCCATTTCTAATTAACTGTTGAACACAGTAGCGAACGACCGACAAGAGATATTCTTCTGACAACGTCACTGAATAATATCCCATTCAAACACTCGTAATAAAGTGGACTTTGATACTAAACTACAATATGCCAGTCTAAACGTTTGAGAAATTAGTTAAAACGTATCCACTTACATATTCATCTTTGAAAAAGTAGATATTCTTGTCTCGCAAGTCAAAGAACACAGCGTCCAGGTTGTCTGGGATACGGTCTTCCGATCCCTCCTTTGCCGGAAACCCTTCTGATATCTTCTTGGGGTAACCGTCAAACACCTTGTCGTTGTCGTTATCGTACCGGTAGAAATCCTCTCCTGGGAACATACGATATGTAGGTATACAGAACATATCACCAGGTGGTTACAGAGATCGGGTACTGTGTCACTGATGTGTGGCATATTAGGTGTTTAAATTGCAATTAGGCTCACTTATAAACTGCCGGGCAAAAGATTAATTTTAATTTTCTTAATTTTTAATTTTGGATTTCAACAAAGTATTGAAAAGTTAAAAGTCGACGAAATACTGCAAAGCTAAGGTTCAAAACACACCTATGATGCCTGTATGAAATACAGCATAATCGAATAACCAATTCTTGTTTGTCTCGTTTTGGCCACCTTGAGCTACCTTCCTGCCACGAAAGCGGTGATGAACCATAACAAGCGAACCCACTACCTGCTGAGCTACTTTCCTGCCCTTTAAGAAGTGATAGATTGTAACAAGCGAACCCATAACCCGCTGAGCTACCTTCCTTCCCTTTAAGAAGTGATAGGTTGTAACAAGCGAACCCACTACCCGCTGAGCTACCTTCCTGACATGAAAGCGGTGATGAACTATAACAAGCGAACCCACTACCGGCTGAGCTACCTTCCTGCCACGAAAGCGGTGATGAACTATAACAAGCGAACCCACTACCCGCTGAGCTACCTTCCTGCCATGAAAACGGTGATGAACTATAACAAGCGAACCCACTACCCGCTGAGCTACCTTCCTGCCCTTTAAGAAGTGATAGATTGTAACAAGCGAACCCACTACCCACTGAGCTACCTTCCTGGCCTGAAAGAAGTGACAGATTGTAAGAAGCGAAGCCACTACCCGCTGAGCTACCTTCCTGTCCTCTTAGAAGTGACAGATTGTAACAAGCGAACCCACTACCCGCTTAGCTACCTCCCTGCCCTTAAAGCAGTGACAGATTGTAACAAGCGAACCCATTACCCGCTGAGCTACCTCCCTGTCCTCTTAGAAGTGACAGATTGTAACAAGCGAACCCACTACCCGCTGAGCTACCTCCCTGCCCTTAAAGCAGTGGCAGATTGTAACAAGCGAACCCACTACCCGATGTGCTACCTCCCTGCCCTTAAAGCAGTGGCAGATTGTAACAAGCGAACCCACTACCCGATGTGCTACCTCCCTGCCCTTAAAGCAGTGGCAGATTGTAACAGGCGAACCCACTACCCGATGTGCTACCTCCCTGCCCTTAAAGCAGTGGCAGATTGTAACAAGCGAACCCACTACCCGATGTGCTACTTCATCGCCCGGAAGGCAGTGACAAGGTCTATAGTCTAACCTTTAAAGAAATAAGCTTCATTAGCCATGGTGGTGTCTGTGAAGTACCAGACATGGATGTAGGCGTCGATTCCATCGGGGACGCCGTCCCACTCCCGTGCGATGTACAAAGGGTCACCGTATCGTGTTCTGTTGGCATGGTTCTCGTACATCCAGTACCTGTTCTGGCGGAAGAAGTATGTGTTGTAGATGAACTGGTTGTCGGGACGCTTCCTCACCCAGTCGAACAACGTATCGAAGTGTCCTTTGCATACACCTGGAGGACAATGAAAACATAGGACCGATGAGACTACATGAGTGTTGATTTGCCCGCACATAAACCTGAGCGAATGTTGTTTTAAGTTAGCAATATTCCAGTTTTATCATGACGCGCCTGTAAACAGTCGACCACGGGCCAGGCAAACGAGAGATTGAGAGCATGAGCAACAGGCAAACAGCCACGTCACACATCGTAACCACTCGATCCACACTTTAGTCAGTTATTGCAACCAACATTGGATGCTTAGGACTGCTTCCGGAAAACAGTATACCTAGGTTTAAAACTGTATCCTGACATTAAACGACTTCGTTTCCCAAACACTGATAGTACTGTAACAAATATTGATATAGGTAACACAGAGTGTGAAGTCGGTACTGTATCGAAACAGAACCTTCGGCTTCCAGTGGATGTCAGCTCCAAGGATATCAGCAGCCCTGGTCAACCCTCAAGACCATCTTCTTCAAAAGAGCATGATAGAACGCTCTTGAGCAGGGGCCATCTAGAAAAGATGCGCTATATACATCTATGATTTATTATCATTTATTGGCAATAGTTCCTAGGGTCCTAGGGTTCTCCGGAATCTTCTAAAAATCTTACCATATATCTGTTGAATGGCCTTCCGGTCTTCCCAGCCCAGTTCAAACTCGGGCTGCTGCATCTCGAAGCCGTGGTAGATGGCGTACATAATGGAATACGACTTATTTCGGTGAGCAAGTCCCAGCACATGACCGATCTCGTGCACTGCCACACGCAGAAGATAAATCCCCTCAGGGCTGTACGACCGGATAGACTTAAAGTTTTCCTCGTCGTCGAAGTGCATGTTCCCGGCTTTCCAGGAATGGGCGATCTCACCCCCACTGCCGTCGAACTTATGGGGACAGTTTTGATGATTACCTGTGAACATAGAGCAAGGAGTTAAACAATCGTTTGTACACCAGCACGTTGGTCAAAGAAGATGTAGCCTGGCCCAGTCTGTTTTCATGGACAAGACTACATTGGTCCTTTTTAGGAGTCTAGTGAGCGAGTGCATATTATCTAACGCCACAAACAGGAATGGTCAATCTATGCCACCGCAGCCTGTGTATTTTGTATATGGCCCAGTGACTGAAAGAGTGAGGAACAACCTAAACCATTGAGGAACATCTTCACGAACTCATCCAATCCACATTTTCGTCGGTTCTTACGAAAAGCATGATATCCATGGGGCATAAGTCGTTATCACAACAGGGACGACTTTAGAGAACTGGGGATGGAGACATCGGGTCGGGGTTTAAATGACTTGGTTGTCCAATCAGAGTTGACAGGCTCGACTTGATATACAGCTTGTAGTTTTTATATACATTAGAATCTCGAAGACAGTAAGTCCTGAGTCGACGAGTCTACAATAGTTCTTGAGACAACAGGCCCACAGTAAATATTTATCTAAGACAGCAAGTGCATTGTATTTTCTTGTCTTGTGACAAAAATAGTCTCTAATATCTTCACAGACAATGATAATCTATGACAAGTCTTGAGACAAGAATATAGAGTACTTGAAACATCAGAATCGGCCCCTTTACCGCCATTTCCTCAAAACTTCTCAAGTCCACCATGTACTTCCAGTAAATAATATTTACTTCAAAGCCTTGACCCCAATGGTCTGAAGATTCAACAACTACCAAAGTCTCAACAGCATCAGAAACTGGCAATGAATGATACAACCATGTTTCAGAATAGCCTTAAAGATGGCCTTGACCTTGGATAGACATAGCACCAACATTGGACGTGTTTGGATTTGAAAAGATGCCTGCAAATATATACGTTTATGGCTGTAGAAGAAACCATGTCTCAAAAACTGTCAATGATACAACTGTGTTTTACAAAAACAACAACATTACAAATAGCACATGCAGTGGCTGTCAAATTCCAACACGATCTTAAAGTAGTCCAGTTTCACGTTGTCGGTGGTCATTGTCTGCAATACAGCTAGACAATGAAAGGCTGAAGACAACGCTGATCTGCAGCGAGCGCAGTGATGACAGTCTGCAGTAGGCTTTGAGGCAACGTGTTGTCAAGTGTTGAGAGAATCCAAGTGCTGTGTGGTATGTTCTTCCTATCTGGAATGCCGTATTTGAGACATCAGGTATGTAAACATATCCTTGAGTATTAACACTGACAGAATGCAATCCAACAGGACACATTCATATAACACATGTACTGATGGTCCATACGGATAGACTCACTGACATGAAGAGAAAACCCAGAACGGCTTTCGACCAATTACGAACGAAAGTAACCAGTTTATTCTGACACAAAGATTCCTTGATCAACAACACTGTGTCTGTTGAAGTCAGATATGACACAGTTTAGCAATAGCTGAATAACAGGACCACAAAATCAGTCAAATATCTTCATCAAAGTCGATAATCACGCAGAGCACTTTTGTTAATATTTATGGTAATTCATTAATGACTATTACTAATTACACTGTTTTGGCTGCATGTATTAAAGGAAGTCTCAAATCCGTGTCTCTGCTACCTCTCTTGTATATTGGTGAGTTTAAGTCTTAACGCCGTTTTAAACAGTATTCCAGTTTCATCAAGGCGTGTTAGCTTAATGTGGTAGGGAAAGCCCGATGTGATGCAGATCTATGTGTTTACCACTTTAGAGAAACCCACGAGCACGGTGTGGTGCTGACAAACCTAGAAACATAATCGGGGCGAACCGGGATTCGAACCCACGATCATAGATGTGTGGCGTGCCCAAAGGACGTAATTCTGCACAGCGACTTGCCGACCCTTGTACGACTGCGCCACCCCTGCCCCTGATGTATATGAAGCAGCAGTTGATACATATCTTTGTAACACAGAGACAGTGGCACCACATCGAGGATGACAATAGGCACCACAGCGTGAGCACTCCCTTTAACCTGTATGCTGACACACAAATATTTTTCTCTGAAAGGTGCCAAACAATTTGTTTTGGTTTTGGGCCCAACACCTTTTGTTTTTTAGAACACCCAGGATGCCCAATGTAACGGTTTATTTGTATTTGTATTAAGTATTTGTATTGTATTAAGTATCGGAATAAAAATTATTTACAAATATTATACAAATTCCCAAAATATCACATAGTCAGCAAAGTCTGCTCCTCGCGTATGGTGTTTATAACTACTTCATTCGGGGCAATGAGAGATTCAAGAATTAATTTATCTTTGTAAATACGTCAACGCTGCAAAAGTTTTACTTATTTATTCAGCACTTGTGTTTTTATACCAGCGTGTATTTTTTCTGAAATTCAAGTCAAATCTGGCTTCTTTAAAATGCGTATACAGAATAACAACCAACATAAACCTTGCGTGAAGCACGTTCTTGTAGCGCCACCGTGTAGCCATAACGACGCTATGTCCGGGGGTACCCCGGGACCAATTACACCACTTTAACAAGCCCCGTTCCATAGGGTAGTACTTGTAGACTGATAACCACGCTCAAAGACAAGCAGCCCTCCAACAAACGTAGTAGAGGTACTCCAAGTGCTCCTCCGCCCAGTCTTCGACCAAATAAACGTACGGTATTTCAGGAACCGATTAGTTTGGCACTGGCACAATATACCATCTTAATAAAGACAACCAAATTCTTCAAAGCGGCAGCTTTCAGCGAAAGGTTTGGTACACTGGCTTTGCTAGAATTAGTAGAAACTTGACTCCCTAACAGTAAGACTTTTGTTCTGGTGCGGCAAAGACTTCAAAGCGCTGAGCTCGTGGATGAGAATACAGCTTGACTCTCGTAGCCACGGAAAGGTAATTCAGTCATTTGCCCGCTGCTACATTTACATCCGGGCTCTTTAGTTTGGTTCCCCAAATAGCATAAATGTAGCCAACTGTTGAACGCTCTTCCACATCGTTTGTTGAAGACCTGTATGACTAATGAAGACAATTGCTCCAGGCTTCACGCGTACAACGCTTTGTTGCTAATACTGTTCACATCAAAAAGAACTCCCAGCTACCGTTTCTTTAACCAGGTTCAGAAACGACGGGACATAAATAATTCCTTCTCCCCAATGAAAGTAACCAAGTGGCAGGATGATAATTTCTAAGTTCCCTTTTGGTACCTTAACAAAACGTCGATCTTGTCAAACCTATTTGTAGTTTAGTTTTTTTGTGATTTATTTTAGCTATTGGTGAATGATCCATTGCACGGATGATGACAGCGATGGCTTTAAACCATCACAATTCTGGATTTAGACACTGAACTGTTTTTTTAGAAACAGCCTTCGTGAATGTTGTTTTTAGGGCTATATATTTTGGGAAATTCAAGAAGGTATTTTGGTGACAGGGACGTACTGAATGGCATCAGAGCCACACGGGGGTAACATAAATCACCTAGCAACAGGTGCTTGCTGGCACGATGCTACAGACTAACATTGTTGTCTTTCAGACCAGCGGAGAAGACGTTTGTGCTTTGTCTGTGTGTTTGTTGTTTAACGCCGCACTCAGCAATAGTCCAGCTATATGATGGCGGCCTGTAAATATTCGAGTGGACCAGCCAATCCAGTGATTGACACCATGAACATCGATCTACGCAATTTGGATACGATGCCATGCATCAACCAAGTCAGCGAGCCTGACCACCCGATCCCGTTACTCGCCTCTTACGACAGGCATAGTCGCCTCTCACAGCAAGCATGGGTTGCTGAAGGCTTATTCTTCCCGGGATCTTCACAGGTGAAGACGTTTGTGAATACAGTCTTAGTTACAACTCGTCCATGCATGAGATGACATGGTATTATTGAGTTCTTCAAGACCAGTATTGGCCATTCTACATACATGTATTGTGAGTGAGTGCGTTTGGTTTAACGCTCTTTGAAGAGTATTTCAATCATATCACAGCGTCTCAGCTTGATGTGTGAGGAGAGTCCGAAATGATGCAGGTCTATGACATGTACCATTTTGGTGAAACCCACGAGAACGTAGGGTGCTGACAAGCCTAGAAACATTATCAGGGCGAATCGGGATTTCACCTCACGGGGTGGCATGATGGGCTTAACTCTACATGGGCCACGACCACTGGGCCACCGTCGACCCTTTCGCATATGGAAAGGCAGTTTGAGGAACGTGATAACCAGTAGTCAATCTGCATCAAACACAATTGTTTGAAGGGTTATGGCCTCACAGCATATCAGTGGATATTTACGTCGCCATATCCACCTGGGTTCGAATCCTGGATTTTCGGTAGCTATTATTCTTGATTAGTCGCCACCATAAACAAGCGTGGCGGTTTCACCAAAGTGGTAATTGTCTAAGACTCACATCACTGTGTACACATATGTTTGGTGTTTTAACGAGAATTTGCACAACGATCTCGTAGACAAATCCCAATGTTGAATGGCTAGGGCCGTGGACGTACAGTCTGACTCTGGTTAACAGAAAGGATACATGGAAACCAGCATTCAACAGTGGTCTTCGATGAAGCAATGGAGTTGGGTCCCCTATAGCTATGACAGTACGCTGATCGTGGGTTCGAATCTATCTAGCACCATGTTAGATAATCTGTGAACAGAATCAGGTTTCAAACTCGTTGACTTGGTTGATGCATGTCATCGTATCCCATCGTGTCATCGATGCTCATGATGTCAACCAATGGAGTGTCTGGTCCAGACTCGATTAGTTTCAGACCGCCGCCATGTAACTGGAATATTGCTGAGTGCGGCGTTAAACAACAAGCAAACAAACAAACCATGTTAGACATATCAGACACATTCACATTGTTACCCTATCCAAATGTCAGAAGTCTTACCTCATATCGGACATGTAAAAAAGGGGGATGAATGGCTGACGCAGATACTTTACTTCCCCACGCAGTAAGCCAAGCGAAGACATTGTTACCCTAAGACGATGCAGTAACCCCAGACGAATACATCGTTACCGATAGACAAAACAGAAACCCCACACAAACACATTGTTACCTTAAACGAAACGGAAAGCCCAGACAAATACATTGTTACCCTAGGACGATGCAGAAACCCCAGACCAATACATTGTTGCCCCATGACGAAACAAATCCAAGACGAATACAGTGTTACCTCGTGACGAAACAAATCCAAGACGAATACATTCTATCCCATGACGAAACAAATCAAAGACGAATACATTGTGACCCCAAGACGAATACATTGTTTCTCCATGACGAAACAAATCCAAGACGAACACATTGTTACCCCATGACGAAACAAATCCAAGACGAACACATTGTTACCCCATGACAAAATAAAAACCCAAAACCTTCACAAAACTCTTTCGGAATTACATTTCGTTATGTTCATCTACATAATTCAGTGCACGCATGCACTCTAACCGAGTCACGTGATGCCTGGCGTATGGTACATGATACCCGATACATGATACGCACGTTATTCGTCGCACGTAGCTGCACGGTAGGTGAACAGTTGAGACCTTGGAGGAGGGGGGTTAGGCAAGGGGGGATGTGGTAACCATAAGCCTCATTCCTCGCATCATTAACATGTGGTATTGATTAAGAGGATATTACACGCTAAGAAGACGTACAGTGCAGTGATGCTCCTCAGCTGAGACAGATGAACGATGTTCTAAGCAGAGAGATGCGGTTAGTCGGGAGTGAGTTATTGTGCGTGTTGGACCATATCTTGCCTGAATATCTAAGTATTGATACAACCGCAAATGTTCTGGATATATATGGAGTAGATTATGATGGTGTCATTGTTACGAATGTTTACTGTGGTTGGTTGGTTTGTTGTTTAACGCCGCACTCAGCAATGTTCCAGCTATATGACATCTTCCTGAGGCAAGAGAGTTAACTGACTATAAAAGTCCAGTTTCCACCATTAATGTTCAACACTATTTTGACCACTGGACTTTGTTTCGTCTGATAATCGAGACTGGTTATTCTCTGGCGTTGTTTTTTATATTTATTGGCTTAATCGTTAAACTAGTCTTTATTACGAACACTCGCCCGTACATATACCATGGCCTAGATTTGGTTTGTATTATTTGTAAAGGTTGGTATATGCATGGTTTATTACACATCATGGCAGGGTTGGGTTTTTTTTCAATCCCGTACGCATCATGGCATATTGGTAATATGGTAATCATGGTATGTTGGTAATATTTCCATCCATACAAGTCATGGCATGGTTGTCACAGTCACCTCTATACAAGTCATGGCATATTGGTCATAATCACCTCTGTACGTGTCAAAGTGCGTTGGTAATATTACCCTTCCATACATGTCATGTTGTATCTATGTTGGTCATATTCCCCTCCGTATACGTAATGTTCGTAATATTCCCTTCCACACAAGTCATGGTGTGTATATATGTTGGTCATATTGCCCTTCGTATACGTAATGTTCGTAATATTCCCTTCCACACAAGTCATGGTGTGTATATATGTTGGTCATATTCCCTCCGTATACGTAATGTTCGTAATATTCCCTTCCACACAAGTCATGGTGTGTATATATGTTGGTCATATTGCCCTTCGTATACGTAATGTTCGTAATATTCCCTTCCACAGGTCATGGTGTGTATATATGTTGGTCACATTCCCCTCCGTATACGTAATGTTCGTAATATTCCACTCCATCTCCATAGCATGATCGTGATACCCGCAGACGTCCTAAACATTTACGTTGTAAATTAAAGCGACTAAACCATTTCAATAATCATACGACATCTCCACTGAAAGCAGAATCCATTGTACGTTTCCAACTAAGTCATAAGCATGTGTTTATGAATCACTATAAAACAGTTATGATACTAGGTGTTCGCGAAGAGGTAAGCGTATCCTGCCCCACCGGTGGCACCCGTTACAAACACACGCAAAGGCAAGTCAATTTACCTGAAAAACACGGCAACAAATGTTACGAGTAAAAACATGGATTTGCATCCGACATCATTTCTTTGACCGATACGTCAAATTGGGTAATGTCCTCCAATGCCCACCCCAAACCTTTTTGAAAAGCTTATCTGAAGCCATGAATGTTGCAACCACTTTTGAGCAAGAATCGTATGACGCTCTTTGAAATTTTCTTAGAAAGAGCATGTTCGAATGTACCTCAAAAGTTGAGTAATGTTGAAGGCTTGAATATTGTTAGTCACAAAGGAACAGCTGAATATTATAAAGTAGAAGTGATCCATCTTGTCTTACACCCTGAATCTCTATCTTTACGTCCCTAACACGATACAGTTGAGGTAGTCTTACTTGTCTCTCCTATTTTCAGTTGACATGGGTCAATCAGTTGAAGGGAATCCAAAACAATATTAAGCTAAATTATATCATATCATATATGCATCGCTTTCCAGTGCGCAATGATTTGTCAAAACGAAGTTGTATATTCCCGTGTGACCATCGTATACGCGCCGTTCATGACGCAACTCGCGCCATCACTGAAGAGCGTCGGAAAGCACGTGAGTCATAAGTGATAATTCTGCGTGGATTTCGCTCTCTAAGCCGAACCAGCTATTTACATAGAGAAGCCTCTTACTCACTCTTCAGATTAGTTTACAAATGATGAATATCATGAATACCCTCACACTTAATGCGATAATAACTAGAGTGTGCATGACAAATGCTCTCTTAGAGTAAAAATAGAGCTTATGTGACCACATGGTTTGATCCTATGATTGTACCACAGAAGAATCCTCATTTTAAATCTGACTAAAACTGCAAGATATCAATCATTCCGACATTAATTCGATAAGATAACAGTGAATGTTCCATCAACAAGGTGGCTGGTGTCTCGCCCTATGATAGCGGCTCCATGATACTGCAAGATACGAGCTTCATCCGCTGGTTCTCTGGTGATCGGTTAGTATTGACTGGCTGTCGGAATGAGCGTCAGTAAGCTCTTGATTCTGCCATAACATACACCAGCAGTGATGAGATATCGAGGGATTTTGTATGGAAATGCGTCGTGATTCATCACAGCCTCGCTTTCAGATATTGCTGTATCAACTCACTGTTTTGTTACAGATGTAAATTTAAACGTCAACGCCAGAAAACAACAAATCTCGATTATCTATCATTAACATGCATTTCCGATCCGTGTCGAACTAAAATAAATTGTTGAAATCTTAATGATAGTAACCATTGGGTGTGAGTGAGTATCGTTTTACGCCGCTTTTAGCAATATTTCAGCAATATCACGATAAACCAATATCACGGGAAACCAGAAATGGACTTTGCTCATTGTACCCATGTGGGGAATCGAACCCGAGTCGTTAGCGTAACGAGCGAACGCTTTAACCACTGGGCTACCCCACCGTCCCTGTATGACAGTAGTGAGTGAGGCTCTGCCCCTTAGTGAACAATATCAGCGACATGTCAGCAGGCCTCAAAGTGCGACTGATGCTGGATTAGATAAACCAGTGGTTGATGAAATGAGCAACCACCTAACCTGAGTTAGGTTTAATCTTGCTTTGAACAATATTTTAGTTGGTTTGGTAGTATATCATAGCAGCTTCATGTGGGAGAAAAGCCAAAAGTGGCGGACACGGGCAGGGACAATGTGCTACCAGAATAAGGATTAAAATGGGGTGGGTCTTGGATTCGAATAAAAAATCAGTGGATCCTGACACGTCTAAGGGACGCAACTCGGATGTCTTTCACCACTTGGTCACTTATGCCGCCGATGATAGGTCATCGGCCAGGCTACTGCAGCGGTACCCAGGGCAGACATTGCCTTGTTCCTTCGGCAGTTCACGTATAACGGGCGGTAGGGTAGCCTAGTGGTTTAAGGGTTGGTTCATCAATTCGATTCGACTCCCCACGTGGATACAAGTTTTTGGTGTCCACCACTATCATATAGCTACGAATATAATGAAGACGGCGTAAAACACAACTCACTCACTATGACTTCTTTTAACAATAACACAAGTCATATTTTAAGCCCACCACTCCATGCCAACCGTTCAAGGAGACACCAGGAGATCCTTTAAAATATTGCAGCGTCAGCATTTCTAGATAATTCATGAATTGATACTGTGTGGAACATCGTAACAACAGAATCATAAAGGTTTTTTATCAATGACCCGCACAAATAATAACAAGTTTAACGGTGTTCTAAGTACTTCAAGAACCAATAGTTTCATCAGCAGCCACTGAACGCACAACTGAAGGATGAAATCATACATATCAAAATTACAAAATGCTTACCTCTTCCAAATGCTATTTCAATATCAACGTCTCGTATATCACCACCAGTGTCCTCAACAAACTTGGGTGGGATGACCTCGCTCCACATTCGGAAAGCGAGGTCAATGGTCGCCCTTTGGTCCTCAACTGGTATCCTTGTGCTGTAGCCATTGGTCAGAAGCCTCCAGCGAATGACTTCTTTGTTGATCATCTGACCATTCTCATCCCGCGACTTCCAGAAAGGCAAAGGTCCACCAGTGTGCTTTGCTTCCACTATAACTGAGCGCTTCTTCCGCTCTGACACAGTCAATGGATCAAGTATTTTAGAGTCTATTTCCTTAAGCTTGTCAATGTATTCTTGGACATGGCGTTTTCTCCTGACCAGAGATGACTTATTAGGTTTTCCTACTAACACTTTCATCAGGTGAGAGTTACTGGTCGACCGACGCCACAGTCTCTGAGTAGGAGGGGCAGACTTATTGCTCTCTCGAAGTCCTGCCCGGTTCCTACCACTCATCTCGCTCTGCGGGTTCGAACCCGGACTGTCTTTGTTATCTTTGGCCACGCTTGTGGCGTTCGGATTGGCCGATTCCGATTCCTTGTCCTTATTGCCACAACGGGAACTACTCATCAACACTCGAGTGTCTTCGTCAAGCTCACCCGTCTCCGGCAAATTATAGTTCCTCTGGTATTCCCTTAAAGCCTTGGCAACATGTTCTTCATTACACGTGCTGCGGCCTCCTTCCTCTTCCAACTTCAGATTATGAATAGGTGAAAAGACGGTTCTAAAAAACGGCACTCGGTTGTTCCGTGTTAACTTGCATCGTAGATAGCCATACTTGTCCAAAACAGCCTGGAATTAGAATATTAAAAAGTTCGTAAAAAACAGTTCTCAACATGGCCTTTATTTCAATCTTTTCAATTAATTTGATATCGGTAAAGTTACCTTAATGCGTGTGATGTAAACATCTCAAATGTCTTCTTATCAAGTATGTCGAGTATCAAGTTCATGAACTATAATATAACACGTGTCTGACGTCTATGCAACCTTGCTGTTTTTTTCTGTTTGAGTTCGTATTTCTGTATATGTGCTCTGCTTCCGTCATGTGAATTAGCAAATTAACACAGGATATGACAGTCAGAGCACAATAGGCATAGCATATGTGCAATATTTCAGCCATTGACGCAGTGGTCTTTACCTGACGAGCTATTCACCACTACAACATCACCTGACCAAAAGGAAATTTTTTTCAGGGTCAGATTCAACATCCAATAGAACTGGTCACGTTTTGTGCAAGTGTAGTCTAAATGTTAGAACATTGTAACTTGTGTAGACTGACATTTAGTCCCAGAAATAAAGTTATCTTATTCATATATCTTCAAAATAAAACTAATAAAATCCAAATGAAGCCCAGAACCTAGAGCTGAGGCAGTCCACACTTGCCAAATTATTCTAGACTTTATTTTTCTTTTCTAGGGTCAAGGTGACAGACTAGACTCCGACTATCATCAGCATGGATTTCGATCAGATAATGATGATACCAGGTGTTCGCGTAGAGGTGAGCGTATGCTGCCCAAAACTCTAAATATATTGATTGATAGCACCGAATTAAAACGTGTTTAATGTAGAACTGAGACGTCATTCGACACACTCTATCGATTACTCTCCGAGATTACCGAGAGAATCCGACCAACAAAGAGGACCTGGTTTGGGTCCACCGCCGTTAAATGTCCACCAAAATAGCAAAACGAGAATACTGGGGCAGGACAGGCGTAATAGCCAAAAACATACCAAAAAATCCATAAAAAGAAGCAACACACAACATGTTTTCCCTGAAGAGCTCTCTCTCTCTCTCTCTTTCTCTGTTTGTATGTCTCTTTCCAACTGTCGATCTGGGTCTGTCTGTCTGTCCATCCCTGATTACGTACGTCTATTTGTCTCTCTCTCTCCTCTGTGTTTACTGTCTGTCTGTCGAACTGTCCATAAGTGACTATGTCCGTCTGTCTGTTTCACTGTATGACTCTCTATATCCATCTCACTGACTTCGTTTGTCTGTATGTCTCTCTCTTTCTCTCTCTCTCTCCCTCTCTCTGTCTCACTGTCCATACGTGACTATGTCCGTCTGTCTGTTTCACTGTATGACTCTGTATATCCATCTCACTGACTTCGTTTGTCTCTCTCTCTCCCTCCCCCTCTCCCCCCCCCCCCCCCCCCCCCCCCCCCCTCCCCTCTCTCTCTCTCCTGATCGTGTATACATAGATCGGACACTGCGGGATGCCGACTGTTTATATATACACTTAGGACTAAAATAATATTGGTGTTGTGCCAGGCCTAGCAGCCGGCGGTAGTTAGCCAATCAGCACAGCACACCCTGTATCCCCTTCACAAAAAACAATATGCAGAAACAAATAGTCAGAACACAGGAACATGTATATATATCTGGTGGTATAAACTAACCTAGACTAAATAGATGCTATTTACAATACAACATATCTCATATAAGATAGTAAACCGCAAAGGGTAAGCTAAATATATCCTCTGTCTATATGTGCTGACGTATATCATCTAGCAATAGCATTATCATATTTAATATTATTAGCAGATAGTATTCTCGTTCACGAGGGTTCACAATTTATAACAGTCAAGACGCACTCTTCAACACAGACGTTGGTTTAGATCACGCCAAAATTATCACAACTTCCTAATTTTAGATATGGTGTTTATTTTCTGTGTTGTACACTTCCTTTATATCATTTGTCTTGTGGATGTAACCTCCCCTCACAATAAACAAAAGGAGACAGGAGTGCGTTATCTGATGCTCTATAGATTAACCCAACAGACGAGACATGTTCACGAGAAGATATCAGCACTGGGCTTCCATAACAGCGGTGCACCTTACACACTGAGATTAGAATCTTATTCTGCGCATGATCACTGCAGTCCCTAAAGTATAGTAACTCGCCCCGAATGAGGATATGCATACAGTCAACATCTGGATACGTTCGTTTGGGAAGGTGGTGAGTGGTTAAAGCGTTCGCTCGTCACGCCAAAAGCCCGGGTTCGATTCCCACAAGCGTACAATGTGTGAAGCCCATTTCTGGTGTCCCCGCCCATCATATTGATGGAACATTGCTAAAAGCGGCGCAAAACCATACTCACTCATTTTTGTTTAAAATCTTATTTCTGTTGTCACCAGATATTTATTACAAACGAGAAAAGTCTAATTTCATGTTTTAATGACATTATTTTTTACTTCCAACGTTGAGTGATTTGTATCCCGTGAAGGCTTGTGAAACTCGATCTTAGATACATGTGAGACTGTAGGTATCTGTCATGTTCACCACTATTTCTGAGGCAGCACTAAGAAACAACGCCCAGTGACGTAGGTATGTGTATGCAGGATACGGTAGGACAGGATACGCTAACCTTTTCGCGAATACCTGGTATCATCACTTTGTTGTGGTGATTAAAAAAACATGCTTATGATGTAAACAGAAACGTACGCTTTAATGATTTCTTAAGATTATGGAAAGGGTCGTTTTCATTTAATATCCTTAAAAGAAAGCGGAATTATTCAAAATGACCCAGAAATCATTCAAAACACATTATTCACAGGCCGCATATATTTTCCATCTCTTACAAAACGTAAGTTTGTGAAGGCAATTAACTATGTCAAAACCAGTAACGGCAATAATAAGAGGCCGTCGGTGTGCTGACGTTGGGCGAGGAAGTCCGCCCGATACCCCGCTGTCACTCCCAACCCGTCTTCCCCCCACTCCCAGAAGTCACCGGGCAATTACTGCAGGCGATTTCCGGTTTGGAAGCCCAAGCAGGTCGGCTGGAGCGGAGGTGGTACTCGAAAGCTCTTGACACTAGTCAATGAATGAATTAATGAATGGAACGTACGGGCGAGCACTTGACTTGCTCAATTGAAATAACACTGAATGAATTGAACAAACTATTTGTGGTGCGTAGATATTATCGGTCGTAAACACGTCACACAATGTTGATATTTCTAGTGCAAGTGAAGGAGAGTTTCTAGGAGCTGCTTCCGTATGCCACTCTAGCCCTGTGGTCAGTCGTACATCCCACAAAAACATATTTCATAATTTCGTAATGTACATTTTTTTACATAATGGCGTCCAAACTACCGCATTCAAACGGATTAAATTGAGTGGTAATGGAGACATTGCGATTCCAATATAATTAAAAGCGACAAAACCCTTTCCATATTCATAAGAAATCGCTGCTGACAGCAGAGTTGATTGTACGATTCCGACTATATCATGAGCATGTGTTCATGAATCATGAGCATGTGTTCATGAATCATGAGCATGTGTTCATGAATCACTATCAAATAGTGATTACAACAGGTGTTCGCGAAAAGGTGAGCGTATCCTGCCCCACCGTTGGCTCCAATTACAAAACACATGCAAAGGCAAGTCAATTGCTCACATAAAAAACAACGGGAATTGCAGAAAAATATTTGATCATGAGAATAATCAAATCATCTTTCAGCACAATGCATCTCTGTCTATAAATACAGGCAATTCGAGATATAACGGAAAAGACATTTTTGATACTATGTAATATAATAGTTATTACATAAATCGTGGAATATCAACATCAATAACCAAAGACACCTCAAGAGAAGAAATGTGTGGCCAAGAGGTAAATGCGTTCGCTCATCCCACCGTAGACATAGGTTCGATTCTAACAAGTCTAACGCCATGGTATTGCTGGAGTATTTACCAAAGCATCTTGAAACACATACTCACACAGAGTTCAATTCGTTACAAACAGAAGATCGCCGAAACAAAAACAAAACCAGAATCATGACGAGACGTGGGTGTACCATGTTTCCAATTATCAAAGAAGCATACATGAGAGTTGGCACGTGGTCTTTCAGCTGATGGTTCTGTTGAGCCATGTTCAAGGGCAGCGGTACATATCAAGCACAGGAACGCGAGCAGCAGCTGGTATTTCCATCATAGTCGTGCCATCCAATTGAAGTCGCCATTGTCGGCCACCAGCAGGGCTAACGCGACATAATATGTATCTGAGCGCTAGAAACACGGATCCTCCGTTGGGTTACATGTTATGATCATGTAGTTTTAAATAGCAGATCTATTAACCTTATGTCGAAAATAGATTAAAATGCCTCCTAATGAAGCATGATGCTGAGTGGAAACAGCCTGTAAAATAGTAAAGTATGCACATTCTTTGGCGTAGCAAGGATCGTGCTCATTTTCGTGGCAAGTAAACGGTGTTACAAACCGCAAAAACAACCTAACTAATGTTCTTAGTAGATTTTTGGCAATCATAAATTTTGCGATTGCGTCATGCTTTCGTCGCTTTTATGGGAGTATGAGAATGAAAAACCTACTAAAGCGGTAATGTATAGAAACCTGTGTGTGTTTATGCTGCTTGTGTCGACAGAAGAAAATATTTTACCCCAAACAAACAGGTAATCCGCAGAAAACTGTGGACAGTCATTCTTTGTTGCGATCTTCAAATAACAAGTCGTTGTTGTTTTAGCAATATTCCTTCCATAACGCGAACGGAACCGATGTTCTTCCCATAGAGGTATTTTCATCTGCATGTTTCATTGTCAAACCATTCTCAAAACTGGTTCCGTGCTCGCGGGCCGCACCAAACTGGTAGACGTCTACAACCAGCATCAGTGGGAGCTTTTTTCATTGTATTTTATTTTTTATTTTAAAATTCTCGTCGTGATCTAAAAGGGTTTCTTTGCCATCTGAAGTTTAATGAGAAAATAATGTGTGAAATGCTGGACTTCCTCATTGATAACATGTTTCCCACATCAGCCTGAAACATGTCACATTAACGAA